GGAAGTTGTTCTGGGAGGTTTTGCAGTTTATTCGATAGTGGTTTTGGGATGATAGTGATTTAACGGGAAAATAGGAAGGGATTTGATTTTATTTCAAAAGGTAAAGTAACGGGTTTTGTGGGATTCGATTGAGGGTAATTATGTAATTAGGAAAAGTTTGGGCTGTTATCAAAATGACAAATATAAATTTGGGTCTACCCCTATTATTTGAATGTTTGAGGGGGTTATATCTAATAGACCCTTTTAAAAATAGGCAGTTATTGTGGAACATATGGAGTAATTAATAAGAGAAAGGAAATGAATTAAAAAAGAGTATTAGAAAGAGTTAATAATGGCATAATCCAGCATTAGAAATCTAAAATGACATAATATCGAACATAATATTTTTAAAAAGAAACAATTATTATGAAACACATGTATACATTATTGTTGTTTTTCCTGTTGTCAATTATAATTCAAAGTTTTTATTAATCAAAATAATTTATTATAAATTCATAGTCGTGTCAGATTTACATGCATGTCAGCTTAGATTTAAATTTAGGGTAAACTATGGTCAGATCCAAAATAATTTTTAATTAAAAAAAAAACCCTTATATTTGGGTAATTAAAATCACCTCTCAATTATGAATATAATCTTCTTATATGTCTACCTTTACGGTGTCAAATTCAACACAATCGTCTAGATTCCGTGGTATGTTCTCTAGTTTGTACTCGTTTTGTACAAAAATACAGTTTATGATGCACCACAATATGATATTTACAAGGCAATAGATTCATCATATGATCATCTTGTTCAAAATGTAGAGTTCGAATGGGGTAAAACTACACAAACTGGAGAATATTTCACATAAGTTGAAAGATTCCACTAAATTTGATACCACAATGATGAACATGCAAAAATATTCATAATTAAGGGAGTGGCTGTAATTATCCAAACATGAGAGATTTTTTCGTAAATTGACACTATCTCAGAGGGTGGTCGTAATTTACCCTTAAACTTATACTAAATATTCCTCAAGAAAAAAATAAAAAAAATAAAAAAAAAAAGAAAGAAAAAAAAGGTATGCTAGCTGGATAGAAATGCAAGCTGGAAAATTATGAGAGACCAATTAAAATGAATCCCTATACATAGTTACACAAAAATCGTTGCTATCATTTTCAAAGAAACATTGTGCCCAACAAAATATTGATTTTGCATTAATCAGTTGGTGTTGAATTGGTCCCATTCGCGACGAATACTTTGACAAAACGACCGATTCCGAATTATAACTATTAGTAAACTCTTTGAAATACTATTATATTTGGGGTGCAGTTTAAACTCGCGGGTTCTCGCAAAACTCATCTTGATCCTGTCAAACAATGAAATTGAAATTTGATTTCAAGATATCAAATTTGTGGATTTTCAACGGGTTCAGAATAGGTGGGTTCATGCCGGGTTTATAGTGGAACCCAACCATTAAGGATTGAAACCTGTTATAATTTAAAAAATATATTTTTTTAATAATTTAGAAGTTTTAAGCGAAACTATTTAGAAAATAAAATGAATAACATCGATGATAAATGTCAAGAGTAAATTTAAAATTAATACATTATAACCACAAGCCATTAAAAAGCGTAACTAAAAAATTCAAAGTTTTACAAGACATCATGTAAAATAAAATTATTAATTTCAAACAAAGAAAAGTTATAAATATAAATTTCGACATGTAAGAGATACGTTAATCATATCTTATATATATATTATTAGTTTATTATGCAACATAATATTAAAAGAAGAAAAAGACGGCGTCGTTGTATTCATGCTCTTATGCATTGCAATTATTATTATTTTAGATAATTAATTACAGAATTATTTATTTAATCAAAACTGTGCTAATTGATAGTGATATACTAACATCGACTCGAGAAATCTTCCCTTAGACAGCAAGAAAATGAATTAGGTGAACCCGATATGAACGCACGAACCAACCAAGCTGTGCCACGTGTACCCAAGTGGCCGCCATGAAAACGTCGTTCAACCCAACTCGGTCTGAAGCCGAGTATATTTCTCACCTACCGCCATGCCCTAATTCCACGTTCATTTGTGTACGGGACACGTGTCCCACGCTTTCCCTGGCCCCACACGTGTTCAAACAGCCCCCATATGTGTGCGTGTGTATATATATATACACACATACAATTCACAGTCTCTCAGGCAATTGAGCAAACACCTTCCGATCATATATATCGAAAATAATTAATTAAAGATTCTGTATTTTTACTACTTAGTGAAGAAGAAATGGCAAGTTCGATGGCTTTGGTGGTGTTGATGTTTGTGGCCGTGATCATGGCCGGAACTACTCTTTCAGCTGCTCAAGGTGGATCCGGCCTTACTCCGGCGCCGGCGCCTGACGCCGGTGCCGGGTTCTCTCTGCCGGTCTCTGCGGCGCTCGTGGCTTCTTCGCTGCTGCTATCTCTCTTGGCTCTCGTCAACAAGAACTGATCACTATATATATATAATATAAGCGCATATATATACGGCGGCGCCGGCCGCCGCTGCGTGGGGTTTCATTTCAGATTCTTGCCACGCGCATTTTAATTGATTATTTTTACGCACATGTCATATATATATATATATATATATATATATATATATATATATATATATATATATATATATACTGGGATTTTGTTTGTCGGAGCTACGGATATTTATTCTTCTATTTATACAGAGATTGATGTGATGTACTTGTACCCTGTATAATTATTACTGTTATCATTTATGGGACAATTCTTTGCTTCTCTCTTTCTACTATGATAAATAGGGTAAATTACGGTCACCCCTGAATTATTGTTAAATTATGAAAATTCTCCTATTGTTTGGATAATTACAGTCACCTCCTTAATTATGTATTATCTTACACAAATATCTTCAAAAGGTAAATTTAGGGATAATATTAAATCAATGAAAACTGAACCGAAATTTCGTTATGCCAACATTTCATACCGTTTATTGAACTGAATATACGATTTGGTTCACTCAAAATATTTAAAACTGTAATTACCAAAACAAGAGGGATTTTTTCATAATTTGACCATACCTCAGGAGTGGCTGTAATTTGCCCTAATAAATATTATATTTACTGTTAGAAAATTATTGGTGCTAGAAAATGGATAAACTCTGGTTTTAGTGTATTCAATAAATACTACTATAGACGCTAGTCTATGATGTTCGATTGTATTTCACCCATGCTCGGACTTTCACTGCGTGGACAATTACTACCAAACTCAAGGCTAACAATTTGAAAAAGAACTCAAAGAAAGTAATTAATCAACTAAGCAAGCTAAGTTTAATCAACAATTAAGCAAGTAGTTTTAAATGGTTAAAGCATTTGAGGTATTTATAATGTTTAGAACTAGAAAGTACATATGAACTAGGATTTCCTCATGAACTCAGGTCATGGGTCCAATTTCTATTTTATTAGACCAACGTGGTCCATTGTAAATATATTTGGACTTTCAATTCGGGCTTGGGTTTGTCAATTTCCAAAGTTGTTTCCTCTCACGAAACAAATGTATAACATTTTTATTTATATATTGAGCAAATTACGGCCAACCTCTACCGCTGATGTTTAGTCAAATTACGAAAAATCTTTTCATGTTTTGATAATTACAACTAGCCCTTTTTAATTATACATTTTTTTACGAAAAAACCCCCTCATTCAGTTGGTAAATTTGATACTGTAAAAGTGGATGTGTAAGACAATACATAATTGAAGGGGATGGTTGTAACTACTCAAACAAGATGTTTTTTTTTATTTCCGTAATTTGACCTTACCTTAGGGCGTGGCCGTAATTTGTTCTTTATTTATTTGGTAACGAATGAATACAACCAACCATATAGGTGCACTGGGTATGCTTACACTCTCGTATAGTTTGCAAACTATTATAAAAGTGTGTAAGTTTACCCAATACTTATATGGTCGGCTGCATGGTAATGCAGGAACCCGCAATCAACTAAATAGGTGCACTGGATAAACCTACACTCTCGTATAATTTGCAAGCTATTATACGAGGGTGTAAGTTTGTCCAATACACTTAGGCATCGTTTGCTTACATATATTGGATTAGATCGGATTAGATTGGATTGGATTAATTCCCTACTGGTTAACTAATTAATTAGTTAATAATATGTTTGGTTCTTTAAATTACATATTGTATTAAATTTGTTAAATTCTATTATTATATGTAAATTGTCCATGAAGTCTTTTAATTACCAAAATTAAATCATTACTTGATGGATAAATTATAATTTCCCATTTTAGTCACCCCTACTAAATTAATCGCAGGGGGATGCGTGTTACTAATTTCATGACATAGTAGTACTTAATTGCGGGCTTCAACTTTAGTAGCGGGCTTGAGTAATATTGAATCCTACCAACCAAACATCTTACTAACTCCTACTATTTAGTTAATCCAATCCAAAAGTCTTTTAATCCAATCCAATAGTAGCACTTATTTGGTTGCAGGTTCCTTCATTAAAAAAACACAAAAATCTCTAATCAAACCAACATAGATTACCATAATAATAAAAAAAAATCCTTTACAAAAAACCCCCAAGCAAAGTGCAAAGCCATAGTTTAGATTTTGGGAGCGACTAAAACAAAAATTTTTTTTTTCTCACTTCAATACCACCAACATAAAAAATAGAAAATAAATAGGTAATAACATTATTACCCTTAATGAAAAGTCAGTACCACACACAATTTATGTGGTATTGATTATATTAATGTCGTTACCTATTTATTTTCTATTTTTTATTTTTGTGATATTGAAGTAAGAAAGTGACGATATTTATTTTAGCTGACCCTTAGACTTTACATGACTATTTAATTTTCCAGAAATCCATACAAAAGTTTGACAAATGAGATGGTGCCATATGTTACACCATCACTGGTGCGTGTCAATCACACAGGATAAGGTAATAATTAGACAATATTCTTACAAAAGAACCACGTCCACCAAATCCAAACACACCAACAATGGCCACTATCTTCTCTCCCTCCGCTGTCCTCTCCTCCTCCACCACCACCACCACCACAACAAAAGCACCACTCACTCCGCCGCAACTCAAACCCCACCTCCCCACCCCACCCTCAAAGCCTCCCCTCAACCTAGCCACAACCCTAGCCGCCACAGCTCTCGCCACAACAATCCTCGCCGCCGCCCCACCCTCCCTAGCCGGCGACACCTCCCCCGCCGCGTACAAGCTCTACTACGGCACGGCCGCGAGCGCCGCCAATTACGGCGGCTACGGCGGCAACTCCGACAAGAAGGCATCGGCGGAGTACACGTACGACGTGCCGGAGGGATGGAAGGAGAAGCTGGTGTCGAAGATCCAAAAGGGTACCAACGGCACCGACAGCGAATTCTACAACCCTAAGAAGAAGACGGAGAAGGAGTACCTAACGTTTCTGTTAGGGTTTCCGAAGCTGGCTCCGAAGGAAGCTATCCTGAACAACCTCGCCCTATCCGACGTGGACTTGCAGGATCTGATCGCGAGCGCCGAAAGCGTGACCACCGACGAGAGGAAGGACGACAAGGGGCAGGTGTACTACGTGTATGAGATCGACGGGGTCGGCGCGCACAGCTTGATCTCCGTCACGTGCGCGAACAACAAGCTGTACGCGCACTTTGTGAACGCGCCTACGCCCGAGTGGAATAGGGACCAGGACACGCTTAGGCACGTTCACGAGTCTTTCAAGACCGTCGGATGATGATGATCATGATTGAGATCGTCTCGTTTTTTGATGATTTTGATTGTGTGTGTGTGTTGTGTAATTGATACCGTTGAGTACAGATATTTGGACATAAAATCGTGGAAATTATTGTTGTTGTTACTTGAATAATCGATTAATTAATGTCTCGATCAAGTTAGCTTTATCGTGTTTTGGTGCGTGTTTGTCGAGACAGTATGAAATACTACTAATCTTGTAATGGCTACTCGATCATAGTATACTACGGTTTTGAAGGTTTATAATTTGATCATAGTGTATGTTTCTTGAACTGATCTTACGATGTTTGTTTGATCGAGTATATGTTTATTTTCACATATCCAGTAGAACCTCGATAAATTAATACTCAAATTATTACCTCAATTAAATAATAGTTTCTCTCTGTTCCGATTCTATGAGTGAAAACATGTAAAATTATTAACTCAATAATTTAATAATTCGCTAAATTAATAGATTAATTTCTCTAATCCGGACTGTATTAATTTATAGAGGTTTAATTGTATGTATTTAAGAAATATAATGAAGTGTATATATATTACAACTTCCTGCAGTTTATATATATGCAAGAAGAGTCAACAAAATGTATATAATATAGCTATACAAAGAATATGACTCGATCAATACAAAGTGAAGCCATCATCGTACGAGACGTGGGGCCCACGTCGGCAAGGGGAAGCATCCGCGTCATAGTCGGCGCAACAGCTCCATCTCCTCTTCCAATTAGGTCTGCCGGTGTTGGGCCTTTTATCTTTCTCGTTCCATTTGTACACAATCACCCCTGATTCGTCGCTCCACTCTCCGTCGATTCCTTGATGCGGCGGGGCTAATGCAAATAATCCCTTCTCCCCTGAAATTATATATATATAATCGAATCAGTATATCGCTATGCATATAGACAAGGATACGAAATAAAAGCAAGGAAGCATGGTTAATTTGGTCTTGAAGGTACGAGATCGATACAGAACTGAAGACAACATGGACAACAGTTTTAAGTTATTCACAAACTTGTAAACCCGATCCACAATATCACGTTAACCTAAAGCCCATCGGTAATTTTGAAATATTCTAGATTCAGTGCAACTTCATTACGGTCGTCAAATCCTACCACGAAGTTATTCATACCAAATACACACACCAAAAAAAAAAGATATCCTCAAAAAAAAAAAAAAAAAAAATCTCGCCATTTACTTTAAACGAACACGTGTTCTGTTCATCTAGGCAAAATCCAAGCGTTTAAGGTTGCTACTTAAGCTGTTATATCTCTATTGCTTCTGCTTTTAACCTCTAGTTTTTTTTTTCTCACTTGTATTCTTCTACATATTAATCTTCTTTTTTTTTTTCTACTTAATCTCTTAATAACTCAACATCTACAAACCAATGTCCATTCATTGATAGATTGATGTTGATCAAGCATTTTTAGACAAATCATTAGCTACTCATTCTACCTCTCATTGTAGGATTCGGGCTTTTCAACGAACCGACAAATCATTAGCTACTCATCTACCTCTCATTGTCGGGCTTCGGGCTTTTCAACCCGGTTCGTGTAGCAGCCCAAACTTTTTCAATTTGCTTGTGTAGTACCCCTGATAAGGTCAAACTGAAGAACTTTCCACATAATCTAGATGATTCCACTAAAATTGACACAGCAAAGGTAGACGCGTAAGAAAATTCATAGTTGATGGATGATTGTAATTACCCAAACATGAGGTTTTTTTTTTTTTTTTTTTTTTGCCTCGTAAGTTGACCTTACATCAGAGTATGGTCGTAATTTAGCCCATCAATATTATTGGTGTCATTAAAAATAAGGAAGCTTGCTTGCTTATAAGCTAAGAGAAATTATCACATATAAGTAAATTCTTGATAACCTCATCAAGAATCTTGCCCAGGTGTAAAGTACGATAAAAGATAATGCTAAGATATAAAGTACTAAACTTTTTATAAATATTTTGAAAATTGGAGGTCAGACGAAACTTTAACAACACCAAAAAAAACAACATAAATTTCAGCAAAAAATTAAAAAAATAAATTAAAAAATTGAAAATTAAGATTCATCGTAATTCTTCATACCTGTGGTGTGGCCGTGGAAAGAGCAAGCGATGGGGGGAGTTGTGTGTGTTTTCATAAAGCGTGTTGCACCTCAAGCATCTTTTCTGTACACATAAAATCTGCAATTTTTGGGGTGTTCGGTGGTTGATTCTTGGAATTTTATAGGGGTTCAATTGTAATAATAGTGGGGAGGGAGGACGGTGTTGATAAGCCAATTTCATTTCCAAGCTATCACCAATTAATTTTACATATGATATGCATTTAAATAATAATTATCGCCCTCAAGTTTGACATAATTATTAGGATAGATTATGAAACTCCCTAAACTTAGGCTAAATTACACAAATACCCTCACCTATTCGTAATTACAGAGTCCCCCTGACATTTGTCTCCGTCTTACATCGACCGCCTTACGGTGTGATTTTTCATGGAATCTTTTTTCGGTCGAGGGATTATTCCCGAAAAAATGTCGATTTTAAAGATAATAACTAACCTTAGGGGTAGACTGGCCACGGGCCGGGTCCCGGTCCTACTTTTTCAGGACCCGAAACTGACCCGCGTGGGGCGGGTCCGGGTCCGGGTCGGGTCCATTCGGGTCATTTCGGGTCCGGGTCCAAAACCTTAATTCACTAAAATTTAAATTTTCGGGTCGGGTCCGGGTCGGTTCCGGGTGGACCCGAGTTTTAGCCATTGTAATTTAAAGAAAAAAAATTGAATTCCCGGACCGGGTCTGGTTCGGGTCCGGTTTATAGCCGTTGCATTTTCAAAATTTGAAAAAAAAAAGATTACTAATTTTCGTGAAATATTCATCAGAATAAAAAAGATTTCGTGAAAAATCACACCGTAGGGAGGCTGGTGTAAGACAAAAACAAACTTTGGGGTGTTTTGATAATTACGGATAGATGAGGGTATTTTTTGTAATTAAGCCCAACTTCAGGGTCTTTGTTGTAATTTACCCTAAGAATTACCAAAAAGTATTGTGTTGAAGTGAGAAAAGAAGTGTAGTGGGTTACAAAAGCATATGCTAAAATGTACACCAGTCTATGTACATTGAAAAAAACACAAGAAAACTATAAATAAATAGAATGAAATTAAATACTTTATGAAATGATTTTTCTCGAATATGCCTCTTCAAGATTAAATCCATAAAAAAATCTTGAAAAATGGAATTCAATTATTTATTTATTGTAATATTTCATACCGTAGTCCAGAAGTCACGGCCGTCCGTTGCAAAAGTGAATAAAAAAAGGACGAACAGAGAAAATGTGGCTCTACTTTATCCAATTTTTTCTGTCTGAATAAAAACTGAAACGTTGCTTTTGAAATTGAAGACAAAAAAAAAAAAAGTGGGTCCCACTTCACTTTCTTACCTCATTTCTTCTGCATCCACCTGGATCCCAATATTTTACTTACACAGATTTATGCAGCATCAACTACTATTTTTTTTTTTTTTTGCATCGATATGATAAGTAAATAATTATTTGTATATTTAATTAAAATAGTAGAAATTCAAACATAGAATGTCTAAATGAAATTAAATGTAGGTAAATTATATGAGATTAATTGAGTCACATTAAATTAAGTGTGAGGAGTGAACTCCACTATGTGCAAAACATTGGAGTTAAATTAAGCCGCATTTAATTATATCAGGTGTAGGTTCTACAAAACCGTATGTACTAGTATCTAAAATCTACAAACTATGTGTGAATAATAAATGTAAAAGATTTCAAATTGTAAAATTGTATTTACAATGGAATTCTTTATGTCCCTCAACAATAAAACTTTGAGAAAATTTAGTAAGAACTCAATTTGGATTTAAGTCAAAAATTACCATAATAACTATCTATTTTTTTAAACGTATTTTTGTTCTATATAATGTGCCACGGTTGAATATTGCATCAAATCCACATTTTCATGTTTTAATATTATTAATTCAACTGAAAACATTCTTCCTCTCTATATTATCACATCATTAAATGACCGAGGTTATTTTATTCTTTTATGTGTTTTTCTAAAATCAAGGTACATTTATTAAGATACTTAATACTTGCGCAAAAATGAAAAAACGACAATTAATTAGAAAATGGAGGGAGTACATTGTAATAAACAAACTGGAACAAAATTATTGTTATTTTTTTAAAATTTTGTTCACAAAATTAACTACTTCCTCCATGCCAAAATATGTGTCGCTTTGAATTGTTGAGCACATATTAAGAAAACTAATAAAATGTGTGTCGATTTTAGAGAAAAATATATAGACCGACTAAAATATCCATGTTATTAATGTCGTTTCCATTAATTCTCTCTCAATTAATGAATAGTAATAAGCGCAAAATGAGAAAATAGTAATTAATGCATTATTGAAATTCTAAAGTAACAGATAATATGAAACAATAACAATTCCTCAAAAACGACACGGATGGAGTAATAATCTATAGCACACAAAAATAAAATTCCCCTAAAGAAATCAATAATTAAATTTCCAAAAAATATATCCCTGCATTTATATAGTACTACTACTTCTTAAACACAATTAAGCTAATAATCTGTGATTACTAAATTACTAAATTAACTTTGTGCATTAATTAATTAATTTATAAAAAAAGAAGCGGTAATAAAAAAAGCAGCAAATGACATTGATTTATCCACCCTGTCTGCCTCCCCCACACTTCGGTTCCCCACCCCTTCATCTCCTTCTTCCCAATTCTTTCACACTCTCTCATTTTTAGCCTTTTAAATTTTAAATTTTTGCAGAAATATCCTCATAAAAAACCCAAGTTCAAAAAATAAAATAAAATAAAAATCTTCATCCACAGGGGTGTGTGTACGCAGGCATTGCTGGAAGTGAGTTGTTTTGTACTCGAATCCCAGTTGATTTTTGCTCTTCTTGATGTAGTTTAGTAAAAGGTACTTCGGATTCTTTATGCCCTTTGTGAATTTTTTTGTGTGTAAAGATCGAGTCTTTACACACCAATTTTGCTCTTACTACATATGATTTTCAGTTTACTTTCTCCCACTTCTGTGTGTGTGTGTGTGTGTGTGTGTGTGTGTTGATTTTCAGTGAATTATTGCTGTCTTTTTTTATTTTATTTTTTATTTTTTTTAATAATATGTGAATCTGGAAAAATGATGTTTTTTTTTTGAATTTGATTTTGGCATTGCATTATGGCCTCAAGTCTATTAACTAGGAAGTTATATATGTATGATGTATATGGGTTATGAGTTTGATGGGATTGTGTCTGAAAACCGAAATAATTTGGTTTCCACATACATTAATTAATAAGTAAGAATTGAACTTATTATTCTCGGATTCTTTCTTTATTCAAGGCGTTTACGGCAAAATCGTCGAGTTTATATGTTTCGGGTTCAGCATTTAGTTCATCTTGCATTCCCCTTGTTTGTTTCGTCTTCTTTTTCGTTTTCTTTTTCTTTTTCTTGGGTATTTAAGTAATAATCGAAGATCTTGTTCGACCGTAGTTGTGTTGTTGCTATTAACTTGTCCGACGTTATTCGGATAAATCGGTTGTAGTTACTTTCAGGTTCATGTGAATATTCTAGTTAGAGAAAGAAACGATTTTTTATACCCCTCGAAACGATTAAGAGCTCGTAATCTTGAATTTGTTTTCTACAATTCTCGTTTACTATTTAATCAATTTACGATTAGTGGTTTGATTATGTTCCTGATTTCAAACGAGCACTATACATTATGGTATTAGTGCGCTGCCTAACTTCTCGACTATCGATGCAGGTTTTCTTAGCATTTTCCTCGTTGACAACGATCGAAGACACGATTGCAGATTTCAACGCTGTTTTACGTAATTTTTTGTTTCGAAATAACGGTTCCTCGAAAATCAGTGTAGTTGCAAATTTATCGAAAATAAAGCTCAGTGTTTCAGTTGAAAGTCGAAGCCAATTCTTCTATTGTAGCTGATGAAGCTCCAAATACAATTTCAAGCTCTCTTACTATTTGTCGGAGTTCTCGTCAATAGTGTTGGTAATTCCGATAAACATTTAATTTCATTTTAACGTACACGATTTTCTTAGTATTTTTTGTCTCGATATTTTCCGTCACCTGTCTGATTATTCTTTTCGGATCAAATTGACCTCTTGAAACGAATTTTAAACCAATTAACTTGTAATATTGCATCATGAGAAAAATTGCCTTATTCGATGTGTATGATTAATTAATTAAACTGATCATCTTCTCAATCACGCAGGTGCTTACATTGGAGTAAACATCGGAACCGATGTCACAAACCTACCGCCACCTGTCGAAATAGTCGCAATCCTCCGGGCCCACCAAATAACACACGTCCGCCTCTTCGACTCCGACGCACGAATACTAAATGCTCTCTCCGCCACCGGAATCCAAGTCCACGTCAGCGTCACAAACCAAGAGGTCCTCGGAATTGGAGAGTCCACTTCAGCAGCCGCCACCTGGATCTCCAAAAACATCGCCGCCTACCTCCCCTCCACCAACATCACCGCCATCTCCGTCGGCAGCGAAGTGCTAACTTCACTACCGAACGCCGCCCCTATCTTATTCTCTGCGATGAGCAACCTCCATAAAGCCCTCGTGGCATCGAACTTAAATGACAGAGTCAAAATCTCGACCCCGTTTGCGATGGATGTAATCCCTAACCCTTTCCCCCCTTCCACCGCTAACTTCAATTCGACTTTCAACACCACCATCTTCCAAATCCTCCAATTCTTGAAAAACACAAAATCTTTCTACACGGTGAACGCGTATCCGTACTACGAGTACGTGAAGAGCAACGGAATATTCCCGTTGGAATATGCTCTTTTCAAACCGCTGTCCTCGGTCAAACAAATAGTTGACCCCAACACGCTTTTCCACTACGACAACATGTACGACGCCTTAATCGACGCCGTTTACAATTCCATAGCCGCTTTAAACTTCTCGGGAATTCCCGTCGTCGTTACGGAAACCGGCTGGCCGTGGTTCGGTGGGGCCACCGAGCCGGACGCTACTCTGGGCAATGCCGAGACTTACATTAATAATTTAATCAGGCGGGTGGCGAATGAATCGGGACCGCCCAGTCAGCGCTCGTTTCCGATCCATACGTACATTTACGAGCTGTTCAACGAGGATAAGAGAGGCGGCGATGTGTCGGAGAGGAGCTGGGGTTTGGTTTTCGCTAACGGCAGCACAGTGTACGATTTGAGTTTGAGCGATGGTAGTGAGGATGATGTGAATGGTTCGGTTTCGGTTTTTTGTATAGCGAGACAGGGCGCTGAGGAGAGCGGGCTTAGGGATGGGATTAATTGGGCATGTGGGCCCGGTCGGGCCAACTGTGGGCCCGTTCAGGAAGGGCGGGCTTGCTACATGCCGGATACGTTGCAGAATCATGCTTCGTTTGCTTATAATGATTACTATCAGAAGATGAGGGGCGCCGGTGGAACTTGCGATTTCGGGGGCACTGCTGTAATAACAAGTGTTGATCCTAGTAAGTTTTCTTTATTACCACTATGAATCTAGGGTAATTTCCGGTTCTACCCTTGTTAACTAACTCTCTCCAACTTTCTTTGACAAGGGTATTTTAGTCTATACATGTATATTTTCGTAAAATTAAGCCACGAGTTTTTAATTAACACTTCTGCTTGTATTTTTATTGCAGGTTACGGATCTTGTAGATTTACGGGAAGGTTAGTTCGTTATTTACTACGCCCCATCTTGTTCTTACAATATATATAGTTGGAAGAGTATATATATCAGTGTTCTAAAAATCGGCCGAGGCGGCCGATTAATCGGTCTCCGAGGCGGAGGCGGTCCAAAACCTTTACGATTTTAGTGTAAAGGTTTGAAAAATCGGTTTTTTGCCTGTGAGGCAGTTTTAGGCGGTCTGAGGCGGTCAAACCTTTAAGGCGGGTCAAACTCGGTGGCAAAAATCGGTTAAAATCGGTTTTTTTTTTTTTTTTTTAAATTCAAAATAAAAGTTGGATTTTAATAAAAGAAAATATGAGTTTTATGCCTTATTTTGTTTATGTTAATTGTTATTTTAAAAAAAACTAATGATGTATGCCACGAATGTTCAAGAATAAATGTAAATTCAAAAAAATTGTTTTTTTTATTTATATTTTATAAGGATATTTATGTATTATGATCTTATGATTATTAAACTTTTATTATGTTATTAGGAGATATACATGATGGAGATATAACTATGTTTAAATATCTTTTTATATATGTTTGGAGTATTTATAAATAATATTTAGAAATATATTATATTAAATTTTAAAAACCGATTTATTTTCGATTTATCACCGATTAATCACCGCCGCACCGATTAATCGTGAGTCGGTGCCTGACCGACTCGGACCCGATTACCGCTTTTTATAACCTTGATATATATATATATATATATATATATATATATATATATATATATATATATATATGAGTTGCTAATGTATATTTTGCATTTAAAATATTTTGGTTGCAGTTCGAATTCGAGCACAAGCGGGCCATTTCCATCGCCAGCGTTTGGGCCGGTAGGCCCGTCATCAGGGAGCTCAAGAAATGTAGATATTTTTCGTTTCGGTATTTTATTTGCAGTGAATGCTCTTCTCTATTTGCTTGGTGTGAATACCAGAGACATTTTGTAGCTTTGAATTGTGATTTATTTTTTTGTGGGGAGGGATGTGTTAGAAGCCATTTTCACACACTCAACGGTATTTTGGAGAAATTCGTGTTTGTTTTGATTTGATTTGATTTGATGGACTTGAAAATGAATACATTGTCTCATCTTCATAAGTAGGGTAGGATGAATTTATTTTTCATTTTTCAATTTATTTATTTATTTATGTGGATCAATTATTATGAAAGAATTAAGGGACTGGATTTGAAAGTTGCTACTCAACCCGTCCCATATTATACGTCGTTTTGGGTGGTTACGCTTATATTAAGATATTTAATAAATATGCATAACTTATACTAAAATGCCCTTGTTATCAATTACATTTTAATTAACTAATTAAGAGCGGTAAGGGCCAAAATTGTTAATAATACAATTAGTATTTTATTGGAACTCTAAAATGACAAATAATTGAGGGAGAAAAAAAAAAGAACACCCCCAAAAACTACATATAATAAGGGACAAAGGGTGTATTATGTAACTCCATCTGTTAAGAACAAGGGTCTCTTTTTTTAAATTTGTTTCATATTAATTATTATAAGTCACTTTAGATTTTTAATACTATATTAATGCATTCTTATATTTTAACTTTATTAATTAATATATAAGTATTAATTCTCTCTTACTACATCATTAAATAGTCAAAGTTATTTTAATATTTTTAATGTATTTTTTTTCGTAAAATCAAGAAACATTCATCGATATTCTTAATACGTGTACAAAATTGAAAAACGACAATTAATTAGACACGGAAGAAGTAACAACTAGGAAAAACCCGGTTGAACCGGCTAAACATCCATTAGAGAATCGAACAAAAGAGGAACTCATCTCCTCAAATATTATTTCCTGGGTTTGAAATAAAAAAAAATAAAAAATTAAATAAATAAAATTACTCAAATTGAACCGGTCCAAATCTGAACCCATATTTGACTGTCCGAATAAACATTGGTCCCATTGAAAAAACATTGATATCAGGTGGTCGGTGGTCCAGAAAAAGTGTAGCATTCCCCCCATGTGCGATTAAGCCACCACTTTGCACGTGTATGGACCTGGTGCTCGCACGTTTTCCCCTTTTTTATTTATTTATTTATTTATTATTGATATTTTATTTAAGGGTTATTAACAGAATCAATTAAATCACAGAAAATAATTAAGATATATCATTCTCAAATAATATGATGCTTATAATTTTGTCATAAAATGTGACAGTGAGAACTCATTATAATTTAACTGCAGTTCGTCTTGTTCTATCATATCAACTCTTCTACCTAATTTTTTT